TGTGTGTGTGTGTGTGTGTGTGTAGAGCTGTCCCAGCGTGATCAAGGACGTGTTCCACTCGAACGCTCCGCTGGTGTTGGGAGGGTTTCTGGGGACGGCAGGAATCATGGTGAGTCCGTCTGGAGCTCTGCAGCGTTCACACAGTGACATTCTAAAACACTTAACGTGAAAAACACTAAACATGGCTTAATGCGGTAAACGGTGTTTTAAAATGACCAAACTCAGTAAACACATTATTATTTAAAGTATACTATTTGCAGAAAAGCAGATATGAGTGCAGAATACGAACGCAATGCGTTTAATTACGCGTTAAGTGTTTTCTTCCCATAGAAAAACAATAAAAGGAAAACGCTTAACGTGTTAAGTGATTTTCATGTTAAGTGTTTTTCACGTGAAGGGTTTTTAATGTGAAGTGTTAAGTGTTTTTCAGCTGAAGTGTTTTTCACGTGATTTTCAGCTGAAGCATTTTTCACGTGAAGCGTTTTTGACGTGAAGCATTTTTCACGTTAAGTGTTTTTCACGTTAAGTATTTTGCACGCTAAGTGATTTTCACGCTAAGTGATTTTCATGTTGTGTTTTTCACTGTTAAGTGTTTATCAGCTGAAGTGTTTTTCACGTGAAGCGTTTTTGACGTGAAGTGTTTTTGACGTGAATCATTTTTCAGCTGAAGTGTTTTTCACGTTAAGTGTTTTTCAGCTGAAGTGTTTTTTACTGAAGCGCTTTTGACGTGAAGCGTTTTTTAAGCATTTTTTACGCGAAGTGTTTTTCACGCTAAGTGATTTTCATGTTAAGTGTTTTCCAGCTGAAGTGTTTTTCACGTTAAGCGTTTTTAATGTGAAGCGTTTTTGACATGAAGCATTTTAGACATTAAGTGTTTTTAACAATAAGTGTTTTTCACGTTAAGTGTTTTTCACGTGAAGCGTTTATCATGTTAACGTTAAGTGTTTTTGACGTGAATAATTTTTCAGCTGAAGTGTTTTTCACGTTAAGTGTTTTTCAGCTCAAGTGTTTTTCAGCTCAAGTGTTTTCTACTGAAGCGTTTTTGACGTGAAGCGTTTTTCACATTAAGTGTTTTTCACGCTAAGTGATTTTCATGTTAAGTATTTTTACATTAAGCATGTTTTACGCGAAGTGTTTTTGACGTCAAGCGTTTTTCACATTGTGTTTTTCACATTAAGCGTTTTTCACGTGAAGCGTTTTTCATGTTAAGTGTTTATCAGCTGAAGTGTTTTTCACATGAAGCGTTTTTGACATGTTTTTCACATGAAGCGGTTTTGACGTTAAGTGTTTTTGACGTGAATCATTTTTCAGCTGAAGTGTTTTTTACTGAAGCGTTTTTGACGTGAAGCGTTTTTCACATGAAAATCACTTAGCGTGAAAAACACTTGATGTGAAAAACGCTTCATGTCAAAAACGCTTCACGTCAAAAACGCTTAACTTGAAAAACAATTCAGCTGGAAAACACTTAACATGAAAAACGCTTCACGTGAAAAACACTTTGCGTAAAAAAAGCTGAACATGAAAAACGCTTCACGTGAAAAACGCTTCACGTCAAAAACGCTTCAGCTGAAAAACACTTCAGCTGAAAAACACTTAACGTGAAAAACACTTCAGCTGAAAAACACTTAACGTGAAAAACACTTCAGCTGAAACACACTTAACGTGAAAAACACTTAGTGTGAAATACGCTTCACATCAAAAACACTCGTGAAAAACACTTCAGCTGGAAAACACTTAGCGTGAAAAACACTTCGTGTAAAAAAATGCTTAATGTGAAAAATACTTAACATGAAAAACACTTAACGTTAAGCGTTTTTAATGTGAAGCGTTTTTGACGTGAAGCATTTTAGACATTAAGTGTTTTTGACAATAAGTGTTTTTTACGTTGTGTTTTCATGTTAGGCGTTTTTAAGCTGAAGTGTTTTTGACGTGAAGCGTTTTTAACGTGAAGCGTTTTTCACATTAAGTGTTTTTCACGCTAAGTGATTTTCATGTTAAGTATTTTCACATTAAGTGTTTTTGACGTGAAGCGTTTTTCACATTAAGCTTTTTTTACGCGAAGTGTTTTTCACGTGAAGCGTTTATCATGTTAAGTGTTTATCAGCTGAAGTGTTTTTCACGTGAAGCGTTTTTGACGTGTTTTTCACATGAAGCGGTTTTGACGTTAAGTGTTTTTGACGTGAATCATTTTTCAGCTGAAGTGTTTTTCAGCTCAAGTGTTTTTCAGCTCAAGTGTTTTTTACTGAAGCGTTTTTGATGTGAAGCGTTTTTCACATTAAGTGTTTTTCACGCTAAGTGATTTTCATGTTAAGTATTTTCACATTAAGCATTTTTTACGCGAAGTGTTTTTGACGTGAAGCGTTTTTCACGCTAAGTGATTTTCATGTTAAGTATTTTCACATTAAGTGTTTTGGACGTGAAGCGTTTTTCACATTAAGCGTGTTTCAGCTGAAGTGTTTTTCATGTTAAGTGTTTTTCAGCTGAAGTGTTTTTCACGTTAAGTGTTTTTCAGCTGAAGTGTTTTTCACGTTAAGTGTTTTTCAGCTGAAGTGTTTTTCAGCTGAAGCGTTTTTGACGTGAAGCGTTTTTCACATGAAGTGTTTTTCACGCCAAGTGATTTTCACGTGAAGCGTTTTTCATGTTAAGCTTTTTTTACGCGAAGTGTTTTTCACGTGAAGCGTTTTTCATGTTAAGTGTTTTCCAGCTGAATTGTTTTTCAAGTTAAGCGTTTTTGACGTGAAGCGTTTTTGACATTAAGTGTTTTTCACGTTAAGTGTTTTCATGTTAGGTGTTTTTAAGCTGAAGTGTTTTTCACCTGAATTGTTTTTCAGCTGAAGTGTTTTTCACGTGAAGCGTTTTTGACGTTAAGCGTTTTTTACGTTAAGTGTTTTTCAGCTGAAGTGTTTTTCACGTTAAGTGTTTTCCAGCTGAAGTGTTTTTCACATTAAGCATTTTTAATGTGAAGCGTTTTTGACGTGAAGCATTTTAGACATTAAGTGTTTTTGACAGTGTGTTTTTCACGTGAAGCGTTTTTGACATTAAGTGTTTTTTCACATTAACCCTCAAAGACTGAGACAGCCGCCCGCAGCTAAAAAGAACTATTGTTTTTAAATGTTTAATAACTTTTGATCTGCTAATCCTCTCCGAATGTTTTAAAAAGTGTTGTAAAGCGGAGATTCTCCGCTTTTCTGAGATATCTCATTTGTCTTATTTGGATATTCAGAGGCTCTGTAGTGTACGTATTTAAACAGAGAGAGTGTGTCTGAACCCCGAACGTTATCAGGAAGGCTATTCCAGAGTTTGGGAGCCAAATGCAAAAAAGCTCCACCTCCTTTAGTGGACTTTGGGGTTATATGCTGGACACTTCATTTCCAGCGATACCGTTGACTTGATTGCAAAGATACTATTTAAACTGAGCTGGATGTTGACATCAC